GATTTTGGCTTGGGGGTTGTCCTTCGGGTTAATATGCCCATGGGAATTGTAAAGTGCTCGTTCCAATGCTGAGGCTGAGGCGCACTTCAATCCAAATTCGAGATTTAATTTCAATCCACGATTTTATTTATTCACTTTCGATTTTCAAATCTATATATGCATGAAATTAATCTGTTCTTCATAGATGTACCGCAGTTTCCACCATGAGCACACACACACAAATATGGATGCATACACAACCTTTCAAATGAATTGCAAGCGGATATCTTCATTCTGTAATGGATAATGAAGATATATTTCTCCACACAAATTAACAATGCCTAAACAGAGCCCTGCACCAAAGCACCAGATTACTGTAACTGTTTCCTTGGGAGTACAGAAAGGGAACACTTCTCTTCCTTTTTCTATTTGAAAATTTGAAAGGCCTAATCTATGTGCAGAAGAATTCCTTCTTTGGTCAAGCCTGCATCCAAGCATGAGACAGCATAGATTATCCACGTGCAATGCTGTGGAAGAAATCCTGCTTTTGTCGGGAAAAGACACCAAGCACAAGACTGTATTTCCTTGAGAAAGGGCATCTCAAATCTTCTTCAATTCCTTTTATATCCAAACATTTGAAAGGTTCTATCCACGTGCTGTGGAAAAAAATCCAGCGTTTGTCAGCCCTGAAAGACGGGCACTTCCATGGACTGCCTTGACCTTATCAGAGGCTGCCTGACTTGATTGCATTTGGTTCGGATAGAAAATGGGAAACAAACCAGAAATGAATTCCATCGATTCTCAAGACGTCTCCAAAGAAAGCAACCGTAAAGGTCAGGAACGAGACAGGTTGTTTTTTCTTTCCTTAATTTCATTTCAGGAATCACTGGCTCAGAGGTTTCTAAATAGCAATTTATGCGAGGCCAACTTGCGGTGTTGCATTTGTTGCTTTGTTTTTGTAAAAGTGTGGATTACCTACATATATGTATGTAGGTTATCAACTTATCAAGCAATTTGTTTTCTGGAGTTCAAAGAAATATTAATTACTAAAGATGTAACAAGCATAACTTATCAAGGCGTTCAGCTTAATTAAGCCAGCATTCTGGACCACAATTATTGTAGACATGGTATTGGGGGGGGGGGGGCTGAGGCTGGCCTCATGTCAACTTGCGATTTCCTTGCGCCGCGACAGAACTAGCCTTGGTCAAGGCGTTCATCAATCTGTGATGGCATCTGGGTTGCTAACAAACACAAGCTGCGCGCTGTGAACAGAACGAAGCGTGAACAGCGACCTCACATGGAAACAATGCAAAACAGTTGGTGAAGAACAAACCTTTTGCTCTTGCTAGTGGATAAACGTTTTATATAGCAGCCAGATACTAGCATGGACACTATTGACGAAGCCTTGACCAAGGCTAGTTCCGTCACGGAACAATGAAATCTCAGGTCAACCAGAGGCCAGCCTAACAGGAGCTTATCAAGCAAAATTAGGGAGGGGGGGGGGGATGCTTCAGCCCCCAATCTAAACCCCCCCCCCCCTCCTTTCCGGCCTATATCTACCAATATGATCATTCTACGGTCCCTGTGGCCAGATCTAGGATAAGCACAGCGAATGTACTTTTACAAAAAGCAATCATTTATGTAAACCGCTCACGTCCCAAGCGAGTACAAATCAATCCCAAAACCATTGGTGCATTTTGCATGCATGTAAGTGATCCTGGCATATCATCGGAACAATTGAAAGCGCACATCTGTTATTCCATATGCCATTCAGCTTTGGGCCTCATAACATTCAGGACACGGATGGGTTACATTTTTCTATGTTCCAGTAGTGCAAACAGCATATGAAATTTTTAACATTGCGTGTATGCATGTGCACTTTTGGGAATGTCTGTTGTGCTGTATCCAGCATTAGGCTATACGGAGAAACTGGCAATCACTGTTGTTCAATATAGAATATTAATTGCTTGGATAAAATACATGTACATGTAGGTAAATATTACAGTTATAGATAGATCCTCAAAAAAACATCAAAAACAGCCGAAAGTGAAACTGCATGAATTGGGTCCTACATCTACATGTGTAGATGTAGATGATCTATAAAACAAACCAAATTGGCCGAATAGACCCCTCCTGCTATCTGAACAGTCACAGACAGTCAAAAAGTCAATCCTGTTCCACTGCCATGCCTGTTCACACAGGCTAGTCACCAACAGTCAGATCACATTCCTGACAAGCACTGTGACAAGTCAAATTCCATCAACAGACAAAAGCAGGTGACTGGTAGGTACAGCTGGCTTTTCAATCACCTACTGTCAAGGCAAAGCTGTATCAAGCTACATAAACAGTCACAGCCAGTCAAATCCTGCTTTGTGTAGGCAGGGAGCTCTTAACTGTTAAAAAACAGTCACTTGATTGATTTTGTCAGGAGGGACAGCTTGGTCCAGTTTGTCAGCTAGAGTAGGGGAAGTTAAATAATGCATTGCAGATATCTTAGAGATACACAATGATGCAATTGCGTTACAATGAACGCACAAAAGGGTTACTCAGTCATGCCTATTAAAGCGATACAAAACCAATGCCCGCTAACCGTGCCTTAACGCACAAGGACTATAGATGGAAAATTTTGGTCAATAAATTTGTGCAGTATAACATCAGCCACTGGGACTGAACAGAAATATGAACGCTGCTTACTTTCAAAACGGCTGGATAGCTAATCAGTTGATTATGTGCTGGTGTGGTATTCCCAAGGTCGCACAAATTGGGACATCGTCCTTTTTAAAAATATTTACAGATCAATGAGACTGACGATTTGGACGAATGACTCATTTTCCTGGGGGAAAAAATGATTGCATAATGCAATTTTACATCATAAATGTACAGTATTTACATTAAAAAAAGTTTTACCCATATTTACAAAATCACACAACTTCAAGTTAATTTTAAGACACGATTTTGTTATAGAAAATTTTGGAATACAGAAAACGGATGGAAAGTACGTCATCGGTACGCTTTATTTTTACCAGTTTTTTGTAGTAGAGTTGTATGCATTCAACAAAGGTAAAAAGTCTTGAGTTGCTAACTGCTCGCATTCCAATAGGTGACAACGTATCAAAATGCCTCAATGAAAAAAAATGCCAGATCAAAAATATGTATTTGCGTATAATATTTAATACGCTCAAAGATACTGAACATGTCAGTTCTGAACATGATTTGGGGTTTAACAAGAACTGACAAACATTTTTGTTTTTTAATTTTACAAGTGTCATGCAATGATCACCAAGGTCAGCTATTGACAGAAGTTTTTGAAACTCGTAGTGCTTGATCTGTGCCACTCGATGGTTCACAAAACCTTGACCAAGATACTAACTATCATGAGCGAACTTTTTTCTCTTGAAGAAAATTATATGCTGACAGTTCTCTTATATTTCACAGGTTGGCTGGAGTTTTGGCTTTTTTGCAGGCGTACATGTAGGCCTACAGGTACCTCAGGATTCTCTGCTTACAGGGTATTACCGCTGGGTGCAATTTCATGGCCCTGCTTATCGTTAGCGAAACATCCCTGTTTACTTCTGCAGACAAATTCTGTGCTTACAGTAAGCATATTTCACAGGTTAGCACGGTTCTGCCTTTAATGTGTACCAGGTACGTCCCGTAACGAAGGATTCTGTGCTTACAGGGTTAGCACAGAATTTTTCTGCTAGCGCTGTTACCACAACATGGTGATTGTAAGCACGAAATTCACTGGTTACCTGAGCCATTAAATTGGCCCAGTTCCAATATGGCGTTCAAGCAGAAATTGTTGTTTTGCAAAATTTTGTGTAAAAAAAAAATCAGTCGAGTACCAGTTAAAAGCAACATGCATTGCATGCTATTTGGCTGATAACCATTCTCCTCCAACAAGTACTTTCTACGCTTAGCATATATTTGTGCCTAGCCGCTCCTCGAAAATTTGCCAATGATGATCATCTAGTAATTCAGTATAGGATGGTCTAGACGCTGCTCGGAACCATGAATTATGACACACCCCGCAATGAACGTCAGCGGCATGATTAAAGTTGACACCTGATACGCAGAGTCAGGAGTGTATGGGACTTGTGGAGAATATTTTAAGATTCATTATAAAAGACTCATCGGTATGCAAAAGACTACCTGTGTTGCATGTATTTGAGATTAGGTTACGACAAAATGTAGAATGAACAAATCCCATCTTGTTAAATGGTTGCTCAAAAATCAGGAAGCAGAAATTGAGAAAAGATTCCTTTTTTAATGGAAGCAATTGAATACCATCTCTTAATGTTCATATCAGAAGCAGAAATTTGATCGCTATGGCAAATCAGCCATTTGAAATGTTTAACTCTCAAAGAACAGTCACTGATCATTATAAGTTCAGCTGAGGAACATTTGAGAGACAATTTACACGTATGGTACACCCACTTGCACAGAAATTCAATATTAATTTAAATAATAGTGAAAGACTTAAAAGGTCCTTTAAAAAATTGTTTGTTGTTTTGGAAGCACAACTTTTGGACATCATCATGTTGTTCCCTTCAATGGATTGATGATACAGGGTTTGAGGAAAGAGGTTAAATTTTGGACCGAGGATGGAAGCAAAGAAGGACTTTGTTTCTGAAAAGGTCTTTCTTTGACATACAGAAATATGGCAAAAGCTCTATGTCCAATGCAGCCAAACTTCGTGTGTATCTGTGCACATTGCCAGCATTCCAACAATCTTTGTATCTTGAAATTGAAGAAGAAATGACAAAATCCATAGACTTTGACAAATATTCATCTAATTCTCTCATTCCCCAAATTGATGTTGATATTGAAGTGCCCCCCTCCAAAAAAAATGGAACCACCTTTTTTCATAATGTACATGTACACTTCATTATGCTGGTGTTGTTGGTAGAACACCGGAACATCAAACCAGAGGTCAATGGTTAGAATCCAGTACTGGTCGACCTCTTTGCTCCCTTGAATTAACCCACTTGAGTAAATACCGGTACTAAATGAAAGTACTGGCACTCTCTCTTGGTCTGTTCCCCCTTCAAACTTAAGAAAAGGAGGCTCACCATTATAATGATTCTTCAGTTTTTTGAACACCGGAATATCAAATTAGAGTTATGGGGTTCGATTCCAGTATTGGTTAAATCCACTTCAGTGAATACTACATGAAAGCACTTAAGCACCTGTCTCTCTCTCTGTCTTGGTCAGCTCCCCCACCTCAGAGTTTCCCCATGAGTTTCCGTCGCGAGCTCATCGTTTCCTCCTTCTTGTTGGCTCCCGGTTTCTCCAAGACGGCCCGCACCCACACCTCCTCCTGGTGCCACGCCCGGGCGATGAGGAGGTACAGCGTCCCGCTCAGGAGCGTCAGGCCAAACGACGCCCAGGCCAGGAAGAAGGACCAGGAGTAGTTGAGCTGGTAGCCCGTCGGGAACGGGGGTAACACCTCGGGGACCTCGTTGGTGCCGTAGATGAAGCTGACCATGAAGAACAGGGTGCTGAGAAGATTGAAGAAGGCTGGTGGATCAGAAGAGAGAAAAAAAAACGGCAAAAGTTGAGTTATTTTGGCTTGCATCAAGGGCTGTTCTGGAATTGACCATAACCTCTGCCCACCTATGTGTACATTTCTCACAGTACTTGACTGTGCTTCTCTTTGCCTTATGCACGAGTTGGCCATTTTTGTCAAGTTCCCTGAATGTATTCATTAATTGTTAACTGTTGAATGGGATGGCGCCAGACTATTTATGCACACATGATGCAGCCTTATTTTACTGTCATTTTTTTTTAAATCTGGCTTTAAACATTAGGGAATGTTTAAAATTACAAATTTTAAATTATTCATTGAAGCAGTAATTAACTTGCATTCATTTCTCTTCGCAAGTTCCAAAAATTAAGATTTTACCTCACTTTCTATTCGATATGGCCGACTCGTGCGTAAGGCCCATGGTCCACTGACCGGAATTCCGGATCTTTTTGGTCAATGCGCACTGTTTGACTGACTGGCAGGGAGGGTAAATTAACAAAACTGAGGGCGTTTCTGGTTCTTTCAAATTGACAATATGCAGAGAGAATTATACTGGCAACTGCTACGCTATATGAAGAAGATCATGCATTTCTTATTGTCTTGCTGTCAGGAACCAGACAAAGATGGAAGCCAGCTAAATAAGTTTTGAAAAAAAAATGGCCACTTAGAAGAACCTTGAATATTTTACCTGTTCCAAAAAATCATCAAAATCATATAAAGGGATATGCTCTTCCAGTTTGTGTTGAAATGTCTTAGTAAAACTGACAATACTTGACAAAATACTTCAGATATGGTACGTAAACTATTTTCTGAACCAGGCAATATTACAGCAAGCACTCTACTGAAATACTGGCAAAGAGCGCTTATATTACTCTTGCGGACTCAACGTCAAAATGTATAGTCTAGGTCATTTAATACATGAAATAATTGCCGTACCAATCTTCATTAAAATGACCGCGGCCAATATGAAGGCAAATTGCCTGATTTCGCATAAGTGCGTTTCCCAATTTTCAGTCGACGCCAACTGCACTATACATTCCACAGAGAATTGCTGTATTAGCTGCGCCAATATAAAGCCAATGCAAAACTACTCTGTTTTTTGAATGCACAATTGGAATTGGAAAATTACACTGGGATTGGTCAATTACACAAATAGAGCTTTCTGACTAGGATAGTGACTACCAGTATGTTACCTCCTATTAAGAACATGATGCCGCTGTCTGTGAAGAGAACGGTAAGCATGGTCCACGTCCCCTGGAGGCTGGTCATGGCGGCACAGAACTGCATCATGAGCGCTGCACACGCTATGACGCAGGCAGATTTTTCCATGTCTGAAAGCAAAAATGTGGATGAACACAACAATCAAAATTTGCCAGGTACACATGTGGAATATATTAAACATGGATAACATCTCAGCAATGACAGCATGCCAGAAAAAGTAATTTCACAGCGAGTTTAGTGCAATTACCGGTACTATCTGTAAACCAAGTAAGATTTTTAACAATAATTTGGTCAGTTACTTTTTGGATAGCTGCAAATGATCTACTCCACCTATAAAACTTTCAAAGGGCACCAAACGAATCCCCAAAACTCCTGAATGGCTTTTGGAGGATCTGCAAGGCTAAGGGTGAATTATTATAAGATTTGCTTCAGCGCTTAACATGTTTATCATCTTTATCCATGCAACACCCAAAACCACCCTGCCTGTTACTCCCTGTACCGCCAGAACTTCCCCAGCACTGATATGGTTCGATGGATTCACCAATGAATTTCTTTGTGAAACAATGAAAAAAAACATTAAGTACAGGTACTTACAAAACCGAACACTCAAGTACGAGGCCCCTGGGGCACTGGCTTTTATGCTCGATGTGAAGTTATAGGCCTCGCATTCTACAAAAGCTGCAAACACAAAAAGAAAAACGGGGACAAAATTATTACAAAATATCGAGGTTGGGGAAATATCAATGTAAATGATCTTGAATCTGATAAGGAAATAGAAATAATGGACCCTACATTTATAAAAAATGACCCACGTCTAGGCTTGCCGTGACTAGTTAGACTCGAAAGGAGACATTTGGTTTATGCCTTTAGGCTTATAAAAGAGTAATTAGGACAAAATAATGTGTTTTTTTGTTAAGTTTTAGGCAGTTTAGGACATTGTTAATACTGAGTGACTCGGTCATATCAGTTAGTGGATGATGCTGAACCTTTGGGTCCAGCTAAAATTAAGAAAGAAAAAAATAAAATAAAAAACATGAATTCATTGTATTGATGACAGACATACTCATGACCCATCAGCTTTGTACATATATATAACATTTGCTTTTGCTTTAATTTTCAGAAATGGTTGGATTTGGGGGATTAGTATTTTATAACAAATTGTTACACTGACTTGTTTGAAGTTTTGTGTTCATAGATACTGGAAAAACCAAGAAAAACAATCATGTTCATGTAGCCTGGTTCCCTGACCCCACTTTAATTTAAATGGAGCAATTTATAGACGTCGGGGAATTCTACAGTCAGGGCACCAGCCTAGAAAGCTTGTACCTGTTCATAGGTGTGTAACAGTTTGCAAACAAAATTCAGACTAACTAAATATGGTAAATTGGGGACAATATTTGAAAAAAGCCAATTTTTTTTCAAACACTGGTCGGCTATGAACATACCAGTTTTCTTGAAAATGTCAGCACACTAGATGCCATAATTCTACCTCCTTGGACTGTCATTCACTGACAGTCCAGTAAATTATTTCATAATAATTGTGTAGTTTTGTTTGTTGATGTTTGCAAATGTTGTATAAATTCCCTTTAAAACAAAAGCCAGCAGAACCTCCATGATAAAGTGCATGACCCATGATACAGCGTTTCTATCCTTTGTTCCCCTGGGTACTCTTTGATCTTAATAGCTTGATTGGATAATCACTTATCTAAGCCTCATTTGGTAGAATTACTCTCAGGAGGTGGGCTGCGGCAATAAATGCCCCACTGATGTCTTCTGCATCGGCAAGTCATCATTATCACACTTGGGTTATCATTCCAGGGTCTGCCAATTAAGACTAGTGGGTTTACAAAAGTTCTTGGCTCATCTTTGACGTGTGCTTCACGCTTAGCTTCATGATTCTAGTCTCCTGACTTGACAGGCTACAGTGCATGCAGTATTAGTATTGGTCCACTTTCTGCACCAAATCCTGACAAAAGTGACAGACAAGGCCAACGGTTGGTGTAATTCCATTGGATTTAAGCACGGCAGAATCTTTTAGCTGACGTCAAGAGAATACGAAGGCAAAGCCTTAGACGAGGAGACAAAGGCGAAACCTTTAGACGAGGCCAGGGGTTTCATACGACTCTATTTAAAACACATCAAATTAATTATCAATTATCATGTTAGCATAGGAGGGGGGTACTGGTTGAAAGACTAACCAAACTCTTAATTATTTGATTATTTGCATTTTACTGGAAGTGTGAAGAAACTTTCAGGGCTAGATGAAGAATACGGTATGTCCAGTTTTACTTTTAGAGGTGGTAGATTGTAGGTACCGGTACATGTAGGTGTCTATTTACATGTACCCCTGTAATATTGGTGTTGCTTTAGTGTTCCCCCCCCCCCCCCAAAATGACATATTGGTAGGTGGACGCTAACAAGTAACAGAATTAGGAAGAAACTAAAAACCCAATCTGTCTGGGTGGCATGTGAACCCCAGTCTGTACAGCTACCGGTAGGAGATGAGGAAAGTACCAGGAATCTATCTGACTCCCCCAAGAGGAAAAAAAATCACCCAGTATGAAACCCCAAGAAGAGACAATAAAATCTCAATACGAGATGAAATGCCTAGTCCTTGTCAACATCTCTTGGCCTCCGTTGAACGGTTGAATCTTCTTATTTAGCTCTCATGGCAACCAGAGAGAGAAAGTGCCTGGGAAGGCATCCTTCTCTCCAGCTACATGCGTCCCTGGGGACAAGATGCCATTAAACATCTCTCAATTAAACACTACTGAGGGACTACTAAGGGGAGAAGAGGGGGATGGGAGGTTGGGACTCCGAGGTCTGGCGTGTTGGGCCAGGTCCTCGTCAGCTACTAGGCAAACATTAATGCAATGATTGAGAGATTGGTTGGTTGTCACATGATGTGTGAAGACCCGCCTTTACTTGACCGTTGCTATATTCTGCACGGGAATGAGTGCTGTGCGTAAAGTGGCTGTAGACTAAGAACTCGTGAGCCTTGTAATCAATAGTTTTACGTTTTGATTAGATAATTAATGACAGCAAACTGATGAATTGTCTTCCACTAACGACAGGCATGTATGCAACTGACTGTGTTGCCTAAGAGTTGGAGTAATTAGTAAATGTTTTATAGTTATATATTGCAATTGATGTTGAAAAACAAGTGGAATTTTTAGACTGAATTAAATTTTGGTCATTCTTAGAACTACCCTGTCCTCTGAAACTGTTATAAATCATAAGACCTCCCTTCTTTTAATTTATCCTTTGACGATGTTAAGTCTATTATTTGTTCACTTATGTTGTTGGATACAATATACCCCAGTGCAGATGACCTAGAAAAAAGCAATGGGTCATAGCGACATCCAGGCCTTTTCCCCAAAGTGTTTTCAAAACAGTGCATTTGAGCTGCACAAAACATGTCCCTACATGACATGATTCAGAACATAAAACGGAACCAAATAACACTTTAGTATGCTCCAAAATGAAATTCAAGAAAAATATCCAATGCCATTCCATGTTGACAATGTACACAAATATGTACACTGTAGATTGTCGTGTACATGTACAGGCTGTGCTCACACCCGGGCTGTTTCCTGACTACAAAACGATGAAGCGCTGTGTAAATTTGCATTCACAACTCACACAATAGGCCTAGTCAATGTATGGACAGATCTGAAGGAAAAAAAAAGATTAGAAGGAACATTTATCATTAATAGGTGCACATGAATCATCAACTTTTCCGTAGCACATCCACAACACAGTTTTTAGTACATACATGTATGCTGGGATTTGCAATGAGTAACTTTCATGTGCCCGTGGAGCACCAATTTTACTTGACAATTCACCAGTTTAAACACAAAAGAAAAATTTGCATTGTAAGTCGATGTGGCACAGTAAGCAATGAAAAGCTCTCAGGCTGAGTGGTGAATACTGAGCATGTGATCAGATCTGAACATCTTGACAGTGACTTTAACATACATTTTGTAAGACTGAACCTCTTAAGTTGCTGAATTTTTTTTTGGGGGGGGGATTTCTCAAAAAATGCTCTGTCACCTTTTCATTCTAATCTTAATTTCAACACATTTCAGCATGTACAAACTGGAATTTGTATCCTTGTGGAGTCATTTCTTTGTTCTCGTCTACTAACATTTTAGAATATGAAAATATAGTTTCAAAATGCTCCTATTTTAACCAGAATTAATTTCCTGGGCTGAAATTCAGAATTAGTAGCTCTTACATAAAATACTTTAATTTGCGACAAATCAACACACCTGGGAAATTCCTAGTTTTGAGTAAAATCTACATATTTCGTGATAACCTTGTGGAGAAGTATTCACCTATAGAAATTGCCCTGTGGAGACGTACAATCTTTTGTACGCACAAACTGTGAGTGTGATGCAGCATTTCTCATGTTTCTGTATAATCTGCATGCACAAGACATTGACCGAAAAGACTTTTTTACAGTAGGCCTATATGGTTTGCCGTTTCGTGAGCATTCACATGTTCTATTCTCATTGCTGATCCAAAGATTATTGATCCGTTGCGCCAATAAACTATATACGCATGCAACGCATACTGATCAATACATTCTGTGAACAACGTGTGCTGTTGCCTCCAAAACCCAGTTATTTGCTGAAACATTTTCCTCCGTTCCATAATGATAGAAATGTGCCAAAGGCAGAATGTCAACAGTATTGCCAACATGGCATGATGGCACAGCAGCAAAAACCAATAAAAGATTCTCTTTTTTGCAAAATTTATTTAAGAATTAATTAAGATAATTCCATACATGTAGACATGTACATATTTAAATGAGGGTCAACATACACGTGATGCTGGAAAAAAGTGACAGTTGCTATTTTTTTTGACCAAATATAAAAAATAGTATCATGTATGTCGTTATTTTTCTTTCTTAAATCAAACGAAAAAAATCATTGCTTTTGCGCTGTCACAGGGGAGAAATTTTCCGATAAAATCCTGTTCTTGACGGCACAATCGTTTTCATGTACACTTCAAAATTGGCCATAACCAAGACGTTATTCTGAGTTTCTCGGTATGCCTATTGACAAAATCTTACTCTTTTTTTTTTGGGGGGGGGGACTTTTTTGTACTATAAAACCTTAATTCCATAATCCTCTGAATCTTCTCATTGTCGGAACCTGTTTAAAAAAAATATCCTTGAAAATGAGAAACCGAACCAGACAATTGATACTTCCAAGCCCTAAGATGATTAAAGCCTTACAAAGGAATGTGAATCAGGCATTTTGTAAAATTTATTTTGAGACTGGAACAGCGGCAGCACACATGGTACTACGCTGAAAGTTGCATCAGTTTTTATAAGATACATTGAACATGTTTAAAGGTAATACAACATTTGCCTTTGCTGTAATTTTCAGAAATGGATGGATTTGGGGGTAAAAATTTTACAGCAAATATTGTTACACTGACCTGAAGTTTTGTGTTCATAGATGTTGGAAAAACCAAGAAACTAATGCTGTTCTTGTAGTCTGGTTCCCTGACCCTACTTCAGACAAAACAGAGCAATTTATAGACATACCGGTAGGGGAATTGTCAGGTAAGGGAACCAGACTAGATGTCCTGCACCCGTCTACGGATGAAACCGATTGCAAACAAAATGTGGACTAACTAAATTCAGTAAATGGGGGAAGTATTTTTGT